GCTGTGGCCCAATTATAGAACGAAATCTTCCACAAAAGAGGATTTTATGGTCCAGAGGGAATGCCCTGTGCACTGCAGAAAATGCAAGTCATCACAAAGGGTCACAGTGGACAAGACATCCAGGCAGGACACAAGAGTCCATAGGACCAAGTAGAGAAGACAGAAGTCATGACCAGGGTATTAAGGCATAGACTGACAGCATTTTACAGAACTGACAGGAGGGAGCAAAACATAGCTGATAGTCTCATCTAATAAAACTATTTATGTTGAATAGATCTTTCCACTTTTTGAAATTATCTATTATTTGCTTTTTAATTATCCCCTACCCATTCATCCAACACACGCAGACCTCCTACAGGGAAAGTTTTGAGAACACAGTTGCAGGATCCTGTCTGTCTTGTCACCCCATTGCATTGGACAGTGTCTGGCACGATTCAAAACATCAACTAAATGAATTTAATATTTGTGCTAAGCTACTGGATAGACCTTACCATTCCTAGTCTACATTGGAGGTTTCCAGGCATTAAACAGCTTACTCAAGGTCACAAGTGTAGCAAATGGTGAAAACATTTGAACTGTGGCCTGATTCCACAATCCATAATAATAACTATTACACACTGCACCAATTAACGTGGAAAATACCATGGTCCACATTTCAGAGTGAGGCTTCGAACTTTCTCAACAAATCTTTTAGTGGTTTCCATAAATCTTTCAAATATAGATATCTCAGTGGATTCTATCTGACCCTTAAAGAAGATAGGATGTTTGAATGCAGAGTAGTCAAAAGGAGTTAAGCAGCACCCTTACAGAATGTTGTCTTGTGGAAAGTTATTTATTTCTAAATGTCTTCACTGGAATGTTGATAAAGAAAATAATGTTGACTGGGGGAAGGTAAAATTATATATGTGAACTGAGGTCTTAAACAATGGGTAATAACTTACCAGGCAGAAAAGGGGAAGAGAGGTAAGTGTACATGCTTGTGGTCCAGTCAGGGATATAGAATGTCAGGTCTGGGAAAGAGAGTCGAGTAGATAGCTACCAAAATGGAAAGGGTATTTCATGCCTTACTAAGGAATTCTTCCTTTTTTTCCCCATTGTTCAGAAATAGAGAACCTCAAAGAAGGGAAAACATCAGATTTTTTAATATAAGTCATGAGAAAACAAAAAGATACAGATGTTATATACTTCAGAACATCTGACATAAATATAGTTGGAATTCCACTGTTCTTCTTATACCATAATCTCCCTGCTATGATGCCTTAAAAACGCACCTCTATGACTTCCATATTTATTTCCTTAGGTAATAAAGTTTCTGACAACTGAAATTCCAATGGAGTCAATCCTCCTTGTAACGGAGAAATTATCTCATGGAGAGAAACCCTAAAAAGAAATTCCATTCAAAGTAATAAACATTAGTAAGCTACTGGTTTTGTATGTGATCCTGTTCCATCTGTAGTTGTGAATTTAAAGACAGAGAATCAAAAAAAAAATCATAGAGAGCCCGCCGAGTGGCTCGTTGGTTAAGAGTTGGCTTGGGAGCAAGAACTCTGAGCAGCAGGGCCACCCATTTCAGATCCCAGATGAGCCAGTGATGCTGTGCCTTCTACAGCTAAAATGGTGAACAACAGCTCGACTTATAGTTGAGCTGCCGTGAGTCATCAGCGGTAGGCTGCAGTGGGGCTGCAGTGGGCTGCCATAAGATACCATGAGTGGCTGGCAGCCAGTGTGAGCTGCCACGAGCTTCTGTGGCCATCCAATGGATGGCAACCAATCTGCCTCAGCCAGGAAGAGCGCAATGATCACAATACTAACATGGGCCAGTGAAGCAGTGTCCTCCACAACTAGGCTGAAGAACAAAAGGACAGCACTTGTCTGTTCCTCTTCCCCAATTCCCCAACACTGTCCCCTCCCCTAATTCCCAATAAAATCTTTAAAAGAAAAATCATAGAATGTAAGAGTTAGAAGAGCCCTTAAATCAGATCACCCAGTCTAACTACTCCTCTGACACTGCCCAGTCATCCAGCATATACTTGATACCCATGGTGACGTTGGGCTCTCAAGGAGCTGGCCACATACTACATGTTATATCACAGTTGAAAGGGTTTTTTTACATGAACTTTCATATCCAGTCACATGTGATCTTGAGAAAAGCTCTGTCCAGGACAAGGAAGAAGAATAAGGAAAAGAAAGCAGGGGGTTAAATGACTTGACCAAACTGACAAGTTATCTGGTCAGTTTGCACCAAGTATGGAACTTTGAACTCTAGGCTGCTTCCTCCCTCCTTGCTCTTGGTAACCCTCCCAGCTGTAAGAGTCCAACCCCTTTATGATACTAAGTCTCTTCTAAGAAAGGTCCAGTAAGAGCTTGTGCCTGTGAAAATAGGGCAAACAACTTAGCTTTAAAACTGCTTATAATTTCCCAGGCTAACTGAACACATTTGTTAATCAGCTAGCCCTGAACTTCGGTACCTTCATACTCTACAAAACCTGTTCCCCTTTCTTCTCCACATATTAATAAAAGAGTTGCCACTGAAAATGATGCCAAGATTTGAGACGAAAAAAAATCTGTAAAATCCTGTTAGACAAGATTCCCCTTTTTTCATTGTATTGCCTTGATTCTAAATTCAGATTTTTTTTTTTTTGGCCCTACACTGTCCCACAGTCTTCCAAGCCTAAATTGAAACAAAGCGAGCATATTTATTACCCAGCTAAAACTGCTGATTTTCACGACATCAGTTTATTTCCCTCATGATTTCCATTTCAGTAAATTAAAATTTAGATTACTTTCTCTACTCGTTAATGTCCCCAATGTTTTTTTCCTCAGAGTACTTCAAATGACATCCAAACATTGGGACTGTCTTTTAGAATGTTCTAATGTGGCCTCTGATGAAAAACAACCAAGAAGGAGGAGAGGGAGACGGAAGAGGAGGAAGAGACAGAAAATACTCTAAAAGGCCGACAGGATGACTAGATGGTTATGGGGAGATGAGGAATGGTGCTATATCCTTGTTCCTCACACTACAGTCCACTCTTCATTCCATATTCGGACATTTCTGAGTTCTAGGAGAACTAAATACGAATTTTCTCTCTTCTTTTTGCTTAGCTGCGTAAGACATGATCCTCGTCCTCAAGATGCTTGGTCTTACTGGAGGGCACGGTCAACAAATAAAAATAATACCATTTGAAAATTCTAACAGCAGTGACACGAGACAAAGGTGAGATTATCAAAAAAAAATTTTTAAACTCCCTGTTTTCCTCTAATCATAAAAACATAATGTGTGTTCATTTTTTGAAAAACTGAAAATACAGAATTGTCAACAAATAAGTAATTTAATTCCTACCATCCAGAAATAACCATTTTTAACCTTTTATTGAAGAATGTACCAGTCAAAAAAGAGTGCTGGGAATAGTTAGTATCTGGCATGAGCACAGGGAGTCACATTATGTTTGTATATGTGTATGCATGTATGTATAAGGTATTTTATATATATATATATATATATATGTATAAAATACATATAGCGATAAACATTTACCATCCTGTTCTATGTGTTTGCATTCACACAGTCTTATACAACTTCTTTTATAGTCTGTTCTTATATAAATATTGGGAAACTAAAGACATTTTTTAATTCCTGATTTTGAGCTCTCTCTTTTTTATAGTCTTACCAGAGGTTATTTTATTCATATTTTCAAAGAACCACCCAAAAATAGCATATATTTAGAAATTTAAAGCACACATTTAAATAATTCATGGGTCAAAGATGAAATTATATTGGAAACTAGAAAATACTTGCAACTAAATAACAAAAGTACAAACTTGTGGGATGCAACAAAAGAAGTGATTAAAGAGATACTGTAGTTCAAATTAATGAATCCAGCATTCAACCAAAGAAATTAGAAAAAGCAAATGAGTACACCCAAAGACAGTACAAGGAAATAAACAGAAATTAGGAGAAGAAAAAAAGGAAAAACCAAAAAAGGACAAAAAATTGGTTCTTTCCAAGTATAAATAGACAAAGCTTTGGCAACATGGAAGGGGGAAAAGATAGCTATCAGGAATGACAACATAACTACAGATACAGTCAGAACTTTTTAGAGATCATAAGTAAATATTATGAATCTTGTTCAAAATGGGCAGTTTCCTAAAAATTGTAACTTACTGTAACTCAAGAAGAAATAGTAAACTTGAAGAGGCCGGTCACTACAGACAACATTGGATGAGTAGCTTAAAATACGTAACTATAAAACAGTTGTTAGCTCTTAAGTGAATCGCTTTCCCTGTTGGGACAGGGGAATGTCCTCTCATGTTTCAGTGGCGTTGGAAAGGTTCCAAATGTCTGCGCCCTGCTAAGGGGGCTGAACTTCAGGGTCACAATAGGAATGACTCAGAAACGTTGAAATTGCTCACAGACGGGCCACCCCTGCAGGTCAATTTATGTACTTGGGGCATAAGGAATGTCTTAATCAATGGAATGTCACAATCAATGGAATGTCACCTCTCCTCAACAGAGAGTTGGGGGAAAATAAGATTGGTTTTCAAACAGATCTGAAACAGTAGACAAAACTAGCTGGTGTAACAAAGCAGCTTCGAGGAGAAATAATACAAAGTTGTGAGCCTTTTTACAGAATTTGGGGCCCACTGAAATCTGAGAACTATAAGAAGTTCAAGTTTGATTCAATGTTTGCAAAGGCGCAAAAAAAAGCAGGTAAAGGACCTGGGATACGTTCAGACCAAAAGGATCGTGGTACAGTGGGCCAGTGTCCACTGCGCTAATTTTATCTGGAAAAATACCCGTCGCCTTTCAGATCCTGACGCGCATCTGCTACCGGGATACCTGGCCGCGCGCCCCTTTCGTGAGCGCCTGGACCCATTCGCGGGCTGAAGTCCCAGTTCCTCCTTCTTCCTGGCAGAGCCGCGGGCCACCGCCCTCTGTGCTGACAGCGCCCCGAGTCCCCGCAGCCCTCCTGGCCTTCAGACCGCGCCCAGCAGCGACCCACCTCCTCGGCGTCCTGGCCCAGGGGGATGCCCAGGTTCCTAAGCCCCTCATGCAGCTCGCCGATGTCCACCACGCCGTCCCGGTTGCGATCCAGCTGCTGGAAGAGGGTCTCGTAGCGCGTCGGCCTCTCCGCGTCCTGGCAGGCCGCCGCGGGCAGCACGAAGCCCCGCAGCCAGCGCAACATGGTCCTGGGTGCGCGGGCGGCCCAGCCGAGGAAAGTCACGGGGATCCGCGCGACGGCAGCCGGCCTGGTGGTGCACGGGACGCAGGAGCCGAGACCCCACCTAAGCCCCGGTCGGCGCGCTGGGAGGGGCCGCGCCCAAAGCTGCTCGGGGAGGAGCTCGCCCCGCGCCGGCCTCCGCCAGAGGCGCGGAGGGACGGGCCTGGCGCTGTCGAGGGCGGGCAGGAAGTGGAAGGGCTGCGGGTGGGTATCGGGAGGGGCTGTGGGATCTGGGGAGCGAATGCTGCTGGGTCCCCGCCGTCAGGGGTGCGGGTAGAGCAGCAAGCCCCCAGAAGTCGTGGTTTTCAGCGTCAGTTATTAAGGACAGGGAGCGGGGGCAGTTTGGAGCTCAGGTTACTTAACTTCCAGACCCCCTTCCCTTCTGGAGCCTTGGCACATGGCCCCAGAGGTAGTTTTCTTTGCCTGGAAACTGGGCCAGGTCGGGCTTTGTCTAGCAGATCTTTGTCTCGCACAGATCTCTGACTTTTTCCTGTGACTCCACAGACACTACACATCTCTGGGCCTGTTTTACATTCACAGAAATGAGGAGCTTGGGTGATTGCACACCTGAGATAGGAATTCTGCTCTAAGAAACAGGGAGTCAATTTGAAGGCAATTTTATTTTTTTAAAAGGGACACCTGAAAGTAACAGTGTCATATGTGAATTATATCTCAAATTGGAAAAACAAAAAACAAAAAGGAGGAAGCCAAGGGTCCTTTGCAGAAAACGTCAGCATCTATCCAGGTGGGAGCAGTGGTAAAAAGAGAGACTGCTTCGCTCTTCGGCTTAGTATGAGCTGCCTCTGATAAATCATAGGGAGCATCTGCCAACAGCACTTGTCAAAAGAACCTCAGGCCCTCCCTCTCAAGGTAGGTGCAGTACAGGCTTGGGGTTTACTGCCCAGGTAAGATGGAACTTCTTACTGCATAAAATGGGATAAGGAAAGGGACACTGGGTTTCAGAGAAAATACCCGAGTTCTAACCCTTCAGCTGTAAACTGGGAGATGTGGCTTTTCTAAGTAGCCTCAGCAGTAAAAGGAGAGTATGAACATTTGCCTCATAACAGTAAGGTTGTATATTGTATGTAAAAGGTCTTCATGCTCTCGTGCCAATCAAATGAGATATCATTAATTGTAATAATTCTCTGTTCATCCACAGTGCTTAACAGAAACTATCATTGTGTTCCTATTATCTGCAAGAGGTACAACTCTGTACTTGTAAATAAAGCTCTCCCCACATATTCTGAATCACTAAACAAAGACCAGTTATTTCAGCAAAATCCAGGAACTCAGATCCTGAATTTACCTCCCCTCATACCATTTTATATATTTAAACGTACGTGAATCTCGAGTTTGTAAATAGAGGCCTGCTTGGTTAGTAAAATCATCTTGAAACCAATTTATTTGCTTATGTTACTTCCAATTTCCTGTCTTGTTAAGAATTATCCTCTTCCTTTAGAAGGCCTTCAAATTTCATCAAATTTTCTATCTGTCCTTAAAAATACCTTTTAACCCACACTGTGGATACTCTACTTGAAGAAAGGCTGCTTGAAATAGTCTCCCAGACTAAATGTTTCTCTCTCTCTCTCTC